GTTCCCGAACAAGAGTTAGGGGTATAGGGTTAGGGGTTAGGGTTCAGGGTTCGGTGTTAGGGTTAGGGCTTTGGGTCGGGGTTAGGGGTGAGGTAGAAATTAAGGTTAGGATTCGAGCTTCGGGTTATGGGTTCGGGTGAAGGTTCGGGTTCAGGGACAGGGTTAGGGGTTAGGGATAGGGGTTAAGGTTTGGGGTTAGGGTCAGAAGTAGGGGTTAGGGTTAAGTCTTAGGGTTAGGGTTAGGTTCGGATGAAGGGTCGGCGTTGGGATGAGGGTTTAGGGTAGGGGTTAGGGTAGGGGTTGGGGTTAGGATTAGGGGGTCGGATTAAGGTTTAGGGTTAGTGTCATGGGTTCGGGATAAGGGGTTTGGGTTTAGGGTATGGGGCTAGGGTTAGGGGTTCGGGTTAGGGCCACGAGTCTCTATTAGAAGCCCGCTGGACGTACCCCGCCCGCCCATGACCCATTGCATACATAACTCAGCGCGTCGATCACGTCAGCGCGATACGTCATGCGCAGCACATACGAATCGCCCCAACCCGATGCAGCGGATACGCGGCATGGGATCGAAGCGACCAGTGGGTAGCTCCCCACAGCAGGTTGCCGACGCGTTGGCGATGTGTTGCTCAGCTTCGCGCGCTGCTGGGGGGCTATGAGAGACTCCAGTCCCCGCTTCCATTGCGCCCGTATCCACTTAGGCTCTAGGCGGGCTGCTCGCGCAACCCTGGAAAAGCGCTGCTCCCTACTTCACGCTGCCGTGATTCGCTAGCGCCCAGCGGCTTTCGGGGCAGCCGATGGCGGCGCGGCGGAGGCGGCGGCCGAGCGAGGGCGGGCCCCGCGTCGGGCGCGAGGGACTCGAACCGCACACATGGGAAACCGTATTTTTTAACAAGGGATTCTGGCCGCGTGCGCACACATCCGTATTTTTACAAGGGGAAGTCGGGGGCGCCGAAGGGACGGCGCAAGGGCAATCCGTAAGGTGTCTCACGGCTTTAATATCTATAGGCTCTTAGTTCTTAGGTTAGGCTTAGGGTGGTGGTTGGGGTTAGGGTTAGGGCTACGGTTAGGGTAGGGGTTTGGGTTAGCGTTTAGGGTTAGGGGTTCGGATAGGGGCTTGGGTGGGGTATGACGTGGGGGTAGGGTAGTTAGGGTCGGGGTTAGGGTTAGATCGGGTTCCAGAGCCAGGGGGGTGGCGTGGCGAAAGGGCGGCAAGGGGGGTCCGAATTCCGAGTTCAAAGGGCGGGGCGGGGGATCCCAACATTTCCCCCCCCTTCAGAAAGGGGGGGGGGGCTCCGCCGACGATGGATCTGAAAAGGGGGGGGCCGTTTTCGCCGAAGACGGGTCGGGAAAGGAGGGGGAGAAGGGATCCGCCGACGACGGGCCCCGGGAAGGGGGGGGATCCCGGACTCCCCCCCGCTTTGGGGGAGCCAGCGGCGCGCCCTTCTCCAAAAGTCTCTACAATAGTTTTTGCTCAGCGCGGGAAACGCCGCACTCAGATGCGAAAGTCCACCGTCCTGCCATGCAGGCGAGAACCCTGTCTTGAAGAGGACCGCCCCTGGTAACGCGATAGGACCGGGCAGCTCAAAAAAAAATGTGAAAACCCATGCCAAGAAACCCCACGTTTGCCTCCGAGGTGCCCTGGGAGTCTTTGGTTTCGGTTTCGGTGGTTTTGATATGGCAATCGTGACGTTCCCACACCAAAATTCGACGGACGTGGGTTGAGTTTCTTGTGGAGGGTGTTACTTATGGTCGAGCTCTGACTGTATCCAGGGAGAGAAAAACAAGAGAGAGAGAGAGAGAGAAAATCCTGTTCTGAAACGGGGCCGGCCTCCATCCGTGTGGCTGCTGCACACGTCTACATTTCGTGCGGTATAGATCCTATGGATTCTTCCAGCGAAGCCACACTTTGGAAATGGAGCCACTTTCCGTCCTTGCAGCTGCTGTGCAATTTTACTTCGGGCCGTAATGGCGAGGACGTCTTTCGCGAGAGTCCTATTGTGAAAAGGAAACAAGCCGCCTTCAATCCGTGCAACTACCGATACGACCACCCTGCGGGTGATAAGGAGGTTCGCGGGGGGAAGGGAAAACACGGACAACAATTGCGGTGAATGTGATGGCGATGGAATGGTGACGTTGCACGATGACGCTGATGGTGGGAATAAATACAGCCAAGGCGCTGAAATAAGGAACCGTTCGGGTTGGGAAGGGGCTCGACGCTCCTTACATTTAGTAGGGCCGTCTGTGGCTATTTCTCCAGCGTTCCTCGCCCACGCAGGCCAATTTCGGGTCAAAGAAGGGGCTTGGTTCCTTATTTGGCGTTCCTTATTTCAGCGGCCCGTCTGAAATGGTGGTTGTAGTGAAGGCCACACAGCCGCGATGCAGCTCACACTACATAGATGCGACCTCGCAGCCGGCTCCAATCGATTCATCTCACTACCGGTCTCACGACCGATCTCAATATCGATCCCACAATCGGTCTCACTATCGATCCGGTTAAAGGTCTCACATGAGATCCCACTTACGATGTAATGATCGATATCTTAACAAATCTGGCTAACGATGTCACACCGAGTGGCGTTCAGTACGATCGGGACACTAGCGGAGCAATGTCGGGACATCATCGGAACACCAGCGGGCCAAATAAGTGCCACCACAACGGACATTACGGTCACGAACTTCGTCAAAACAAGAGGCAGGTGGCAAAGGTGGCGACAATAGTAGCAATGGTGGCACAACTTCGGTAGCAATGGTCGCCGTGGCCGCGGTGCTTGCACGGTTTGGCGTGCTGGCTGGAGCGGAGACGAACACAACCCATCGATATTGAGATCTGATGTGATTGACCTCGCTATCGATTTCATTGTCGACATCACAACAGGTATCACTATCGATCTCACTGTCGATTTCGCACTAGATCCCACGATCGATCTCTCAACGAATTTCAAGATCGATCTCACCATCGATATCACTGTCGCTCTCGATATCGATTGCACTGTCGATCTCATGATCGACCTCGCAAGAGATCTCACGATCGACCTCACAAGAGATCTCACGAGACACCACCGGGACACCACGATGGGGCACCCGCAGCCGCGGAGGGACACCCCCAACCAAAGATCTGTTATGATCGATCTCACTATCGATCTCATTCTCGATCACATGATCGATTTTTCGATCTCACGATCGATCTCACGATTGCGATCGATCACGCTATCGATCTCACTGTCGATCTCACAATCGATTTCACAAGTGAACTCACCACCGACCATCGAGACACCAGGGCGGGACACCCCGAGCCACCGTCGGGACACCCCGCGCGACCGACGGGGCACCCCCGCGCCACCGGCGGGGCACGCCCCGTGCCACCGACGGGGCACGCGCGGCACCCCCCACCAAAGATCTGCTGTGATCGATCCCGCTATCGATCTCACGATCGATCTCTTCGATTTCACGATCGATCTCACGATCACGCCATCGATTTTACGATCGACCTCACGATCGATATCCTAAATGATCTGACGAGGCACGAGACACCACGGCGGGACACCCGGAGCCACCGTCGGGACACCCCGCGCCGCCGATGGGGCACCCCCGCGCCACCGACGGGACACCCCCGGCCACCGCGCGCTGGGGGGCGAGGGGCGCACAGCCGGCTCCACAGCCCCTAGCCACGGCGGCATCGCTCCTCTCGCGCGTCCGCGCAGATTCGCCTCGCCGGCACGCGCGGCTCGAAGTGTCCATTCGGGTCCCCCGTCGGGGCCCCCTCCTGGAGCCGTCTTGGGGGCCTTTGTGGCTGTCTTGGGTGCCTCTTGTGGACCGTTTGGTGGCCGTCTTGGGCTACTCTGGGGCCCTTTGGGCCTCCGGGGGCGACACTGTGGGCCTCTTGGGCCGTCTTGGGGCGTCGGGAATCCGAAAAGCGGAGAGCGCCCCAATCTTTCAAACACCCAAGCAACACTAACAGAAGTCCATATTTTTGTTCCTGGGGCCCTCTTGGGAGGCATCTTGGAGGACTGTCGGGGCGTCTTGGAGGCATCTTCGGCCGTATGGCGGCCACCTTGGGCGTCTTGGGCCGACCGTTCGACGACTCGGAACCCTCTCCGGCCGTGCCCGCCTTGGGGCCCTCTTGGCGTCTTCAAAGCTCGGGCGGCACACCCCGGCAGCCCCCACGACCGCCCAGGACCGCCTGGCAAACCGGGGTAGGGGAACGAAGAATGACATAGACATAAAAGCTCGGAGGTCTGCGTGGATTTCTCGGATCGGCGCTAGGCCCCCCTGGCGGCGCCTCCGGCGCCGCCCCTGGCGCACTCCGCGCGCCAAGGCGGGGGTTCCATCGCCGATCGGAGAAATCCGCGCGGACCTCTGAGTTTTTATGTTTATGTCATTGTTCGTTCCCCTACGGGGGCTCGGGCCCTTAAGAACTCTTTACCTCGGAGGGCTGCATTAACCCTGGGGGCACTCCACTACGTGCCGAATGCACGGTGGCGGATTGCGCAATATTGCAGGTCGAGCAGTCAATTGTGATGAAATCCCAAGCCAGACCCCCACTGAGAAAAAGAGCCGCCTTCCATCCTTGTGCCTATTCGAAATTTGTAAGATGAATGTGCGCCGCGGGAAAGCGAGAGCCACATGTTCAAAAGTCACCACCCTCCATAACTGCTGTGCGCTTATAAGATGAATTGAAGGAGGGTCGCCTCCATCCGTATAGTTGTTGGGAGTTTCCGGCTTCGGGGCATACCTTGCGAGGAAGTCTCTGCCGAAACGCCCAGACTGCCGTACCAACACGTCTGGGGGCACGACGAGGAGGATACGCCGATCTGAAAAGAACGGAGGAGGCGGAGCAGCAGAAGGAAGAGAATAGTGAGGCAGAGGAGGAGCAGGAGGGGGAGATGGCAAGAGGAGGGAGCAGGAAGACGAGGAGGAGGAGCAGGAAGAGGAGATGGGGGCGAGGAGGAGGAGGAGGAGGACGAGGAATGACGTAGAACATCTGCACACGCCGCGGGCGGCAGGTCGTGCATCGACCAGTGGCTGCGGCAGAAGAAGTTCGAGTGCCCCGAGTGCCGGGCGGACGCGCGGCCCTCAGCCCCCGAGGCGCGCCAGGAGGCTGGATATATATATATACGACGTGTCGGGTGTTGCTAGAAGTGGACTTGCCCCAAGTCGAGGGGAGAAACACAGGGGACCACGACCAAGACGTCGTGGGATCCTGTCGACGCCGATCTTGCTCGTGGTCCATGCTGGCCGTCTCCGACTCGCGAAAGTGATCCACGAATTGACGCTGACCAAGTTGGACGGTGCTCAAGATCGACACGACATTTCCGCGTTCGGTCATGTTCACCGTTTTCGTTCCCTCCACCAACGTGTTCCCAGCTTTTCATGCCGCTTTGGAGCCCCTAAGGCCCTCTGGGCCTTGTGAGGGGTGCTCTGGAGGCCGTCTGGGCCCTCTCGGAGATCATGGGGGCACCTTGGGCCATGGACACTTCTAGCAACACCCGATCGTGGCCAGCCTTGGCGACGGCCCAATGGACATGAAAGCGATGTAAATAACCTGGGCTCACTGTCTGGACAGGCGCGCTTAAGCCGCCCGCGCAAGGTCTCGCGTAAGCGCCCTCGTTTCCAAGCGTTGTGCCGCGTCGACGGCCCGCGTAAGGCTTTCGCGTCGTCGTGCGCAGTACCCTCTAATATGCTTCGCCCATGCCGCCGCAGGTCTTTCCGGCGTCCGGCTCTCCCGCGGACGGGTACGACGGCGCTTCCAGCGCGTAGCCTCCGCACGCTCCACGTATGGATTCTGGCGCATATGTGTCTGTGTGTGCGTGTGTATGTGTATGTTTGTGTGCGTGTGCGTGTGTGTCGGTGTGTGTGTGCGTGTGTGTGTGTGTGTGTGTGTGTGTGTGCGTGCGTGTGTGTGTGTGCGTGTGTGTGTGTGTGTTTCGCTCGGCTCGGCGCAGCACGTGCCAGGAGCACCGCGCCTCCCGGGGCTCCCTGGCCGAGGTCGGCGCGGGCTGCGAGCTCACCGCCCCGCGCCCGCTGACACTCGAGGCCAATCACGGGCTCTGGCCGCTCGAGGCCACTGTTGACGATGGGGCCCGCCGGCTCCACGTTGGCGATCACGTCGCGGGCGGGGGCGTCACGCTATGGTGGCGCCCCCCTGACGGCACTGCCCTTGTCCAGAACCTTGCCGAGGCCGCACCACCGCTCAACGATGCGGTGTGTTCCGAACCTGCAGGGTGGGCCCTTCAACTTTCTGTGCGCTTCAGTTTTGGCTCCGGCCTCAGCTGTTGGTGCACTGCGAAGCTCTTTAGGGCCAGCTCACCCGAATCAGTTTTCCGCTCACACGGGTGCCTTCCTTCCTCCCCAGAACCTTGCCGCTGGTCTCGCACTTGCGAGCGTCGACAACGCTCAGACGGCAGAAGCCTCCAACTGCGGGGCATCGCCATGCTCGCCAAGGTCCCCACCCATACACGTGCGGCCAGGATCGTCGGGGACAATTTTGCCGCCATTCGCTGCGGCGCGGGCATGGGCCGCCACTGCCGGCCGCGGCTCCATGCCCAGATGGGGCGCGCCCTGGTCGCCGCTCAGCACCACAGTTGGGCCCTCACGTGGCAGACCGCCGGCGCCACAGCTCGGCCAGCGATTCGCTCGCCGCGCTCGGCGTCTTCTGGGCTCACTGCCCGAAGCGTGCAGGACATACCCCGCGACACGCCCACACCGCGGTTCGACGGCCCTGCCGAGCGGGGGCCACCTAACCCTCTGGTATTCCCTGCCCCCATCGCCCTCCTCCCTCCTCCTCCTCCTCCTCCTTTTCCTCCTTTTCCTCCTTCCTTCTCCTCCTCCTCCTCCTCCTCCTTCTCCTCCTCTGCTCCCCCTACTCCACGTATCCTGATGGCATGAGAGTGCTCCGCACGCTGCTGCTTCCCGCAGGACTGGCCGTCCGGCCAGCCCTTGGAGAGTATAACAAGATAGGATAGCGTTATGTTAAAGTATACAGACACGGAGAATGGAGGGAGGAAGAAAGGAGAGGGCATCCTAAAATCGTACCATCTTATCGTAACGAAGAGGTGGGAGAGATAGCTGGTGAGATGCTGGTGGCGGCGGCAGGGCAGGCTGTAAAAGTACGTGCGGCGCTTGATGGAGCCCGCAGGACCCGTCGTAAGAGTCCTCCACCCTCGGGTCCCCTGGCCTCGCGGAGCCAGTGCCCCGGTGGCGGCCTAGGGTCCCCCTCTGTTGAGGTGCCCTTGCTTTGCTGAGGTGCACGGTGCACACGCGCCTGGCGCGTTCTCGCACCTGAGGCGGGAGACAACGCGCTTGCCACACGACAGTGGTTGCCATTCGCGTGGCAGGGCAGCGGCGCTCCTGTGGCGGTGTCGGGTCGCCTCCGAGGCCGTCGGGCGGATGCTTTAAACAGTAGAGTTGGGCACGATGTGCGAAAGACAAGGTAGGGGCGCAGCGAAATAGCAAAGCACACGTTGAGGTAAGGCGTGACTAAACGCGGCAATAGATTGAGGACGTTGAGGTGGAGGTGTGGCGACTGTGCTGCAGCAGTGCAGTAGGCGGTGGCGGTAAGCGGTGGCGTACCCTAGCCACGCTCGCGAGTCGGATGGCTCAAGGGCCTCTCCCTCTGCTCTTAGGAATCCAGGCTCGACTACGCCGCTGACTCTTTCAAGCCTTCGGCCAATGCAGAGCTTAGCGTCCGCGTTGCACCAGCTTCTGCTGCGCCCTCCATCGGCTTTGTTGTTTCATCGAGTGGAAGTCGACAAGCATGTTCATTTTGAGGAAGTTATTGATGTGGCCGCCGATGCGTTTAACAGCAGCAAGGTGCCTTGGCATTCCGTACCCTTCGCAGGCTGGGGACAGGGCCCAACAAAAATTTATAAACCCTCCCCCCTATGGTGGCTGACCCCTTTGGAAAATGCATTGACACCTCCACGGCAGCTGCTGGCACATGGGTTGAGTTCGCTATCGCTGTTTCTTTGAGGGTCAAACCTTGGTGCAGGACCGAATTGATCTCCCGCCTTCAACGAACTCGGAGATCGCCCAAGACCCTGCCGACGCTACTGGAGTTCGAGCAACGGATGATGCAAGTATCTCCCTATTGTTCTAGTGGTCTGGGTGGAATACCAGGTTCGGTGATCAAAAACTTGCCTGCGGAGTTTGCACGACACTGTTATCCCCTCCTTTGTAAGTTGTTTTTTCTTGGGGCGGAACCTTTCCAATGGAAAGGATCGCGGATCGCTGCCTTCGTCAAAGTGAAGGGTAATCCGGCGATCTGCAGTCACAGCCGCTCGGTTGCGGTCGGGTCGTAGGTAGGCATAAAAGTGCGCTCGTGTTTCGACCTTCGTCTGAGGTCCCACTTTGGAAAGTATCTGGCTGCTGGTCAACATGAGGGGGTGCTAAAAAACCCTTGCTCGACGCCGCAAGGTCTGTCTTGGCATGCTATTTGTCGACTTTGACGGCCCTCAACTTTGTCATGCGCAAGCTGGTCGCTTCCGACGAGCCCAGTAATGAGCGCATTGCGCGCCTCTTCCGCAGTCTGAGAATGCTGGTGGACACCTGGCACAAGTTTCAAGAGCTCCTGCGCATAGCCACTTTGTTTGACCAGTTCAATGCGTCGGGGTACCTAATCAGTGCAGTGTCGGAGTCTATACGGGGAATTTGGTTTGGCGCGCAAGTCTCTGGTCGAGTTGGCATCGCCACTCGAGGGTCGCAAGCAGGGACCCCCCTCGCTACACCCCTGCTCTCGTTTGTGATGACGAAATGTCTCAAGGGTGCCCGCGAGCTCATGGATGCAGCAGGCTTGTCCGTTCAGGTCCCCAGCGTTCAGCTCTCGTCGATCAAGGAGATTAATCCCCATGAGTTTCTTGATGAACCCCGACTCCCTGTTGAACTGCATGATGCCACTTCGGCTGGTGATGGGTTGTTTTTAATTATGGGTCCCGTGGCACAAATCCTCGGTTTGCATGAGCAACGTACTACATTGTTTGTGGTGCGTTTTATTCTCGGGGCTTCAAGGTGAACTTCGGACCCAGCAAGACGGCTGTAATGGTTCAGTTTGGGTATCAGGCAAACAGGAGGTTTACCGGTAGTTTTGGCATGTCCGAGCAGGTTATTTGCATTTGCCAGTGGCCCCTCCCCCAACGCCCCTGAAGGCTTCGCCATTCCCGCCGTGCATCTGTATCGACACCTCGGTGCACCATCACTGACCAGCTCATCGGACGCGGGAAACCATTGTTTAATTGTCTACGCCCCGCAAGTCTGTCGTGAAGAGCCGCACTCTCGCCGATCATAGGAAGCTCTTCCTGGGAGATAGCCTCGCGCAGCCTCGCCAGTGCGCAATGCATGTGTTTGGGCACCTGGTTGGTGGGCAGGGTTCTAAGCTTCAGACTCAGGTGACGCGCGTGCACCGCGCTGCTCTGCGGCTGCCAGCGCAGTCGCAGGTCACTGCTACCACGGCGCATGTAATTACTTGTGCAAGCACAGCGACCCGATATACAGAGACCGCGCTTAAATGGCATCTTCTTAGGCACGCGGGCAGGGCTTTGCACGTTGGGCCCCAGCCACTTCGAGCCCTCGTAGCTGCCAGTTCTGGGCCCACACATAGTTGCCGAGTTCAGCTTGAGGAAGACCTCAGATGGATGGGCACTCGTCATGCTGAACTACGTCAGACGCCGTCTCCTGGGGCTAAATTTTGAGCCTGGGAGAAGCTGATGCTCGGGCCCCTCTCCTAGATGGCGGTCTAAGATCAAGTCAGCAGCTCAGGCGCGCGCGCGCTGGCAAGCGCGCAATCCTGCTGCACAGGTGCGCGCGCAACATGTACTTGCGGCCCCGCATTAAGGCGACTTCCTTTCTCCTCGTGATGGAGCTCCTGCTCTTGTCCATGATGGGTCGCGATTTGAATGCCATGTCTGCCGCGAGGTTCTCCGCGAAGAGAAGGCCCCGGTCGCGCAAGTGGGCGCGAGGCGATTTCAGATTCCATGCGCCCGCCAGTTTTCACCCATCGAGCTCGTAAAGGACTGCGCTGCGCATAGCTCGCCCCGGCGCCTCTTTGTCGCTCGCCCACATGCGACTTGTCTCGCAGAGGAACAACCGGATCAGATAGCGCCGGAGAGCGAGAAGCAGCGAGCACATGATCGGCCTCAAGGCGCGCCGCGACGAGGCGCCAGAGTGCGAGCTTGTCAGCGGCGCGCCGCATGGCCGGAGTTTATGCAGCATCGCGATCCTGCCCAAGTAGAGGCGGCTCAGTTGCTACGAGATGCTGAAGGCCAGTTTGGCCCTGCAGCAAGCTATCTTAAGTCCGCGGCCGGGCGAGCCAATTTCGGACTGGGGCTGCCGGCAAGGAGAACCTGGAGGCCAGGAATTACAGGATCCTCCTCCTCGACCTCCTCAGCATGATGAATTTGCCGACGACTTCCCGTGCCGTCGTGAAGACTGCGCAGATCTGTTGACGTTCAGTATCGTTCTGGAGATGCGCCATGCGGTGGCAGCATTTCTGCACCTGTTCTCAGGCGCGCGGCATGCCGGTAACTTTCAAGTGTCTTGAGTATGCTACCTCAGTGGCCCGATATCAGATCATCGCTATATCATTGGATGTGGCCATTGATGCAGAGCCAGGTGGGGGTGGTTTAACGCAACGGGTGGTTTCTAGTCACTGGCTTCGATATCTAGAGGATGGGCGAGCTATGGGGGCCCCTGTAGGGCCCCCGCGTGAAACATGGAGCGCTGCGCGTTGGCATTCAGCTAAAAAACAAGCGACGCCACCCCGCCCGCGGCCCTCCATGTTGCACCGTGGCCCATCGGGGGCCGCGACGTACACAGCGCCAAAAAAACACGCAAGATGCCCTGGCATGCGCCGCGGCCCGCGGGGCCGCAGGTGGGGTGGCGCCGTCTGTTTTTCGGCCCAGGCATCGTGGGCTTCCCGGGCCACAGGGCCACCGTTGCCCACGCCCCTTCCGCGCGGTCAAACATGTATGGGGTCGCCCTGGCGCTACCGCACAGCAACATCAACAGCCCTACTCATAGGTTATCAAGGGCTCTTCGGCGCGCGCCTGTTCCCCTGGCGCTGCGCCATGCGCGGCGCGCGCGGCGCATCATGGAACGTCCCGGGATGGCGACATAGGGGCCCAGGCCCCCCCCCAGTTGGCGCGCTCGCTCGGCGCGCGATTGGCTTCGGCACCTCGCGCCGACCTGGTTTCATTCGACCGATGCGCGCGCGGACAGTCTTCTCGCTCGCCCGCGACCTCACTCGCGATGGCCCCCCTGCGCTCGCCTCCAGGCCCCAGGCGCGAAGTAACCAGGGACGCTGCGATCGCGGCATCCGAGCCCATCGGGTGCTTTTGGGGGTGGATAAGGAGAGCCCTAAGATGTGGACCCGCGCGTCGAGGAGTCCGCGCACGCTGCCGCTGACCGCGCCCGCTTCCCGCGACAGCGTGCCCGCGTCGCGAGGCTCGACCTCCCGGCCCCCTCCTCTCGCCACCCTCCGCCCCCAGACCCCAGCGATGAGGACTGCTATCTGGCGTTATCCCAGTCCCGGCCCATCCTTTTCTACCCTACCGTCGAGCGACGCGGCCCTTGCCCTCCCCGGGCCTGAGCACCTGCCTCTCGACCCCCCTTCCCGCCCCCCGCTCCGCGGGGAAGGGGCCAAGCTGCCGGGCGCGCCAGTTGCCCGCGGGAGAGACGCGCGCGCAACCGAGCCGCGGCCGCCCGCCGCAGGGCAGCCAGACGCGCTGCCTCGACGAGGCCCGGGCCAGGGCAACTCTGGCCCGCCGAGATCTCCACTCCGAGGCGCGGCCCAGTCTCTTCCGAGGAGCAGGCGGGAGCTTCACTTTAATTATTGCGTTGCCGCCGCTGTTGTCTCCTCACCACGCTGCGCAGCAACCGCCTGGACACGCTGCACCTGGCCCCGAAGGTCTTGGAAGTCATAGGAATCCCCCACGAACGCCCCCGAGGCCAAAGGCGGGGCCCCTCGTCTGCACGCAGGCGCAGGGCCCCCAGCGCGTTGACCTCGGGGCTGCCTTGGGGGGCCCCACCGAGCGCGAGGGAGGTTTGGGCCGCTGCGGCGGCGGCAGGCGCCACGCGCCGCCGGCGGTGGGCCGGCCGCGCTCGCCAAGCGGGAAGGCAGAAGGGCTTCTCCACTTGCGTGCAGGAAATCCCCCGAAGTGGCCCCCAGCCCAGCGACTGGCGCCCTTCCCTGCAAAGCAGGAGTAGGGCACCCAGATCGTGGAGGCGGGGCGCGTGGGGGATTCCAACCGCGCTTGGGGGAGGTCTCCACCTTCCGCGGCGGCGGCGCGGCGACGGCTGGCGCGGCGCGCCGCCCTTCCGCCATCCAACATAACCGCTCAATACTTGTTAGCGCAGGCAAGACGCGGTTGCGGCTGCAGGTCATAGGTGGGGGTAGAGGTCATTGAGAAGAGGGTCGGACACAGCGGGGCGATGTGATCGGCCCCCGCCGGGTGCGAGGCGCGTCGCGCACGACGCTCTGCCTGCAGCCGCACGCGCGCAGCGCGGCTGCCTGCTGACTGCGTCGCGCCGCTGGTTGCGGCCGCGGCCGCCCTGGCCCTTGCCGGGGTGGCCCGCGGCGAGACCTCGCCCCCTTAGAAAATATCAGAGCGACCCCGAACCGTTGCGCCGCCGCAAGCGCGGGGGCGCAGCGAGGTTAGCGCTTTGAAGCGGCGGGGGCGGGGCTGCGAGAAGGAAACCAGGAGGTGGGGGAGGTTCGAGGTTGGTAGAGGCCTTATCTCAGCATGCACGTCGGGTGAGAATGCCATTCAGGGACCCACTGGTAGCGTAGCTTCTGCTGTCGCTGCCGACGTATGCTGAGACCGTATCCGTTGACGCTTCGGGTGATCTAGCCGAGCTCGTTCTGCCCTTGCCGTCGTCGCCGTTTGCTGAGACCCATGGGGGCCCAGTGCTGCCGTCGTCGGAGGGTCGGGTTGGGGATTGTGCGACCAGCTGCACTGATGCTGAAACTGTCGGTGCGCACTGCTTAATTAAAGGGCAGCGCAAAGGTGAGGCGTCGGAAAGTAGTAGCTGGCGTAAGTTACCCTGCCTGTCGCAAAGCAATATTGTACGACAGTGTGCATGCTGAGGAGGAGGTGGGCGCGCTGACGGGCCGCTGCAAGGCTGATCCCATCGCAAGGCGTTCGCCTTTTGGTTGTGGGCACTCAGGGGGGAGTGTCCTGATTCGCTGTGGATGGGTCGGGCTGCAGGTCTTTGCCGTATTGCTTGTATTAAACTCCCACAGTGGCCAGGGAGTGGAGGCGTCGTCTGCTCTGGTATGTTTTCATGTGCTCTCGCTGTGGGTCTGGTTGCTTTCGTGCTGGTCGTTTACTGGCATGATTAGCGTCGCGTCGGGGTTTGGCTGTTGGTATTTGCCTGCGGCTGTCACCCGACCCATGTCTGTCTCTCACATCAGGCTCTCTGCCGGCTCGGTTTGGCTGTCGACCTCGGCCGCGGCCCGTGGTGCCGTTGTCGGAGGGTCGGTGTTGTTCAACGAGTTGGTGTTGGCTGTTGGATTGGTCAGTGCTTGCTGGTTGTGGGGCTATTACTGCAGCGCTGCGAGCTCTGTCGAGGATGCCCACCTGTTCCGTCTTGGGAGCTCCTGGATATGATGGCGCTTGCCTGTCTTTGCCGGCTGCAGCTGCTGAGGTGGGCCCTTCGGTTGCTTGACATATGGTTGGTCGATTTGTCTGTCGGTTGGTGTCGCAAAGTCGAGGTTAGTTGGGTTGACTTGCGTTTGCGGCTGTTCCAGTTATTGTTGCTCTCTGTTGCCGTCACCCCCTGGGTCATTTGGTCGCGGGTCCTGTGCACGGTTGCTGTCGCAGTGGGAGTGGCGAAACACTTGCGACCGAGACCATCGCAAATGCTTCGTCACTCCCACTGCTCCGCCCCAGATCGCCCCCCCCTGGACATGCTCCAGCGCCGCAGGGCCTCGCGCAATTTTCGTTCTCTCTTCGACACCTACCGCGACGACTGGCGCGCGCGGGGCGCCGCGGTCGCGCTTGCGCAGGCGCCCGCCGCCTTCCTTGCGCCACCCCTCGCGGCACGGCTGCGCATCAACTCGGTTGGATACCTGCAGGAACTCCGGCAGCGCTGGCCCGCCGACCTCGACGGTTCGATCGCCCTCGCCGAACTGGCCGCCCCCTCGCCCGACTCCCCCGCCCGGGCGGCGCAGGCTTCCTCCGCGCGCCCCGCGGCGGCCCCTCAACGTCGACCCCCCCGCCCCCGCCCCCGTCGCCAACGAGCCCCGCGCGTCCCCGCCAGACCCCGTGGTTGGAGACGCATCCCCAGACCCGTCTTCCGCCGCTCCCCGGCAGCGATTCCATCTGCGGCCGAGGCCCAGGATGCGGTGGAGCTTTTCGCGCTCGACGCGGAGCAGACTGCCGCTTTCACGCGCTCTTCCATTCACGCCTGGACGGCAGTCCAGGGCCCCCCCTTGCTCTGGGGAGACCCGGCAGTTGGCCGCGTTCGCCGTCCAATGCAACAGCGTGCCCCCGCAGGGCTGGTCCGCCCCGATTGCCAGCGGCGCCAACTCGGCAGCCAACAACGCCGCCTCCTCGAGCTCCACTCCGCCAGGCCGCGCGCGCGCCACGGACACCTTCAGTCTCTCGCGTTCAAGGCCGGGCGCAGGAAGGCCAAGCCGCCCGCGCAGCCGCGCCCCAAAGCTGTCAGCGGCAAGCGCAGGGCCACGCCCACAGACGCCTCGAAGCACTGGTCTCGCCAGACCGCGCCCCTTCAAGACCTTTGCGGCCGCGCCCGAGAAGGCCGACAGTCACGTTCGCGGCTCGAACCAGACCGAGGGCCCTCACTTCGGCGCCGCCCTGATGGACGAAGCTGCCCTCCACCCGGAGGCATTCTCCGTCGCGCCCATCCTCCGCCCCCCGTTCGCCACCGTCGTCATGGTATGTGACCCCTGCCAGCTCGCCCCCCGCTGCAAGTCGCAGGGCGCCCTCGCGCGTGGGCACGGGGCCAGGCTGATGGCCAAGTCTCAGGGGCAACGAGCCTCCGCGGTCCGCCGCGTCCACGGGCGCAGCCCCGGCGACTTCGCCGTCCGACTTCCACGCTGCTACTGCCGCCGGACCGAGGTATAAGGTCGAGGTCGGTTTGGGGATGGCGCCCCAATCTTCTTCGTGTTTGTTGGGCGTTCTGGTGCGCCTTGGGGGGCGGCGCCCTCGAGCGTTCTCCATGCTGGGCCGGCGGAGGGCCTCGCGCGCCTGAGGGGCGCTCGTCTGTCTTAGGCCCGACTGCGCGACGGCAAGCTCAGCTCCGCCAGTGCCGACCAGGATCGCGAGGCCGAGGCCCCCTGGGGGGCAGCGTGGGCGATGCGAAGCCAGGGCGAGCATGTAAGACTGGGCGAGGATGAATCGAGAATATTTGGGATCCGGCGGCTCGGGAGGATGTGTCAGGCGCCGCGGCCTTCTCAGAGCGCTTCGGAACGCTCCGTGGGCTTTCGGGAGCGCTCTGGAACGGATGCGTCTTCGTCTTAGCCCCGCCCGAGCGAGCGAGAGCCCCGACGCCGCCGGCGACGCTGCCCCAGACGCTGCACGCCGATCTCTCGGCTACGCGCGACTGCGCGACACTCGCCCTCAGGACATCGTTGGCCCGGGCGTCCAGCATTTCCAGCAAGCGCCTCACCTGGGCTGCCTACTTGGCACCTTTTCAACGTGGCAAGGGCGCGAGAAGGACGTCGTCATCATCTGCCTCGCACGGTCATGCACCCTCTGGGGTCACGTCGACGAGCGCGAATGCCTCAATGTCCTTTGCTACAGGCCTTGCACCCTTGCACAGCCTCCATCCACTGCGCAGGCCACCCGCAGCACGCCACAGCTATGGCACCTGGCCCTGATGCGCGCGCGGGGGAACAAGTGGGGATCATCATAACCGACTTCGTGACGGCCGAGATCGCAACCGAGCCTGGGCTGCAGGACCTCGACCGCCACGACCACGAGGCCGACCTCACCTGTCAGCCGAATCTCGTCAACGGTACTCGTTCGCTCTCCGGTGTGCGCTGCCCTTTTCCCGCCCCTGCTGCCCCGCGACTCCCCCGCCGGCGCCCGCGCAGCGCTTGCGCCCCCGGTCGAATCGCACCGCGCGGGCTCCTCCAGCGTCCGGCGGCCGCCCTTGCTCTGTCCATGCTTGCGCCCCTCTTCGCCATCGACCGGCACGACGCTTGCCTCCTGATATTCGAGGACGCCCTCGCGACGCTCGTGGACATCCCGGCAGCGGCCTCCGCCATGGCGCACTCCGCCAGCATCCGCGCTCACCGCTACCGCCCCGTCAGCCGGCCCCTCTACGTCCAGCGGCGGGACTTCAATCGACGAAACAAACGACGCCACCCCACCTACGACCCCCCACGTTGCGCCACGGCCCATCGGGGGACGCGGCGCATGTTAAGTCCCCCGGGGCCGCAGGCGGCGCGGCGTCGCAACTGCCGCGCCCCCTCGTGCCACCTCCACCCCTACGACGCCCCTTCTGCCCTTCGCCTTCAATTGCTGGACGCGGGCACTCGGCCTGGCGGCCGACGACGGCGGCGCCTACCCACTCCTCGGCGGCCCCGCCGCCCAGGTCAGAATCGCCCCGCCCGCGGGCTACGGCCCAGCCCACTCATCGGCGAAGCGGGCGCTCACCCGCTCACCCCCGCGCTTCCGCCCCCGCCAGCTCACCGGCAGTTTTCCGAAGTGCCGGTGCCATCAGCACCCCGCCCCCGACTACTTGGATCTCACCATGCGGGACCCATCCAGGCGTTGCGGCGCAGTCGGCATCGCTGCCCGCCCCCGCGCCACCCGAGACATCAACTGGTTCGCCACCGCTGCTCATATACCGTTGGCAGGGCCGCTACCTCGACCCCGCTGCCGACCCATCTGGCTGCGGAGACAGATTCGAAGCCCTGCTCTGCGTGCTCACGGGTTCATGCCCGCGCATGGCGGCGCCATTGGCCGCCTGGGCGGCTGGACTGACGCAGGCGCTATTACCCGTCGGTCGTTGAAAGTAGATATGTTTGGATTGCCAGATCCCAGTGCACTTCAAGCGCCTTCCTACTTCAGGAAAGTGCGTGCGTTAGCTGAGTTTGCTCTTCTCTGGTGGGGCCTGAACCCAGTCTGCTTGATCCGCCTTCTTTTGTTTACATTGATTTCTTCCTACCGACACGCGACGCCAACGCGTTCCTGGAAGCTGCTTGCCGGGCTAGCAGGTGCATCGCCTACTGCGCCCCCGCCACCACTGCACCCGCCGCCCTCCGCGCTGTGACGCACAGCGGCGAGGCTGGCGCAGAGTGGCAGCGTGGGCTCGCCTACCATCTCAGGGGCCTCCAGGCCTTGGAGACCGCCGCCCCCGCGCCGCGGGTGCGTCTGCCCGCGGAGGGCTTCTGCTTGCGCGCCGACTCCCGCGCGCCCCATTGGATGTTCACGGACCGGTTCGGGGCCCACCACGCCGCGCCCCCGCGCCCCGCGGCCAAGCCGACGGAATGCCGTTCCGCCCCGCCCCCGTCGCAGACTGCCGTTTCCACTTCGCCCACCCTGCCAACCAGTGCAACGAGCGCCAGGCATGCCGCGGCCCGCGCGACGACCGCGGACAGCTTTCAGGCCGCTGAGCTTGCGCAGATTTCGGCGAGGTTGTCACCGCCGCCAAGAGCCAGATGCACTATACGGCGGGGCCCGCGCGACATGGCTGCGCCGCAGCTGCGCCGACGATCCGCCCGCGGACCCACGCGACTAGCGCCAGCGCGCACCAGCCCCAGCGGAGTCCGAACCGCCCCCCCCCCCCCTTCCAGCGGCCGGATCGCCGCTCCCGCCATCGGGTTCGGCCAGGCCCCCAGGCGCCCCATCAGGCCCGATGGGCGCGAGGCGCTTCCATCCGGCATGCTCGCCAGCTGCTCATCCCAACGGTTGACGACGAGAGCGCCGGTTGCACCCAGACGCCCATCCCTCTTCGCTCCACCTGTGACAGTAGATTCGGAGGTCAATGGGCCATCGCGTTCCGCTGTGATTATTGCCCGAGCGGCCTCCTCACCCTTTTTCTCCCCGGCGCCCGCGGCGGCGGCGGCCCCGGCGGATTTCAATGCGTTTTGCGCTATCCCTGGTCGCGGCCCCCCGCGACTGGATGGCCTGCCCGGAAGGGCTCACCTCGCGTCTTCGCGGAAGGACAACCGGCGCAACCTTGCGCGTGCAAGCCCCTGCTGCTGCGCAGAGCCCTGGCGCCTCAATCCTGAGGAAGTCAAGGACGTCCTCCGCGCCTGCGCGGCGGAGATCGCCCCGGCCGAATGCCGGCGGGCCCGTCGCTCCACGGCCTGCGCCCCATCTTGGCTTCCGGCACCAGCGCTGAAGTGCATTCGCTTCCCCGCTGGCAAGGAGGCCCGGGCGCGCCGGGTGCCTGCTGGGCGCGGCCCGCCAGCAAGTCTTCCGATCGGACTTTCCACCTTCCGTGGTCTCGCCACCTCCCAGGGGAGCTATGCGTGCGTGGCCGCTCCGGACGGCTGCCCCTATTTCCGCGGTCCGTCGAGGGCGGTGCCCAGGGCGCGGGCAGCCTGGCCTTGCAATCGTGCGCCCCCAAGGATACGGCTTTGCAGGAGGCGGCCCGCGTGGGCGCAGAGTTGGGCCGATCCGGACGCGCCGCCGTTGTTTCCAGCGGCGCTCGCGACGACCGGCCCCAGGGCCGCTCTGCCTCTGGCCAGCAGGCTGCTGACCGGCCCGCCCCTGCAACGGTGCCCGAGGGACACCGGCGTAGCCCGCCGATTCGAGGCGCGCTCTGACGCAACGCTCCACCGTGGCCAGGCAACAGCCTGCCCAGGAGCGTGAAGCTGCTCCATCCATAGGCCCTCAAACAGCGCGCAGCCAGCCTCGCACATGCGCCGAGTAGCATCCCGGAGCAGTCATGACCCGTCCTGGACAGGTTCCCAAGAACGCAGTCCGACGGGGACGAATTCAAACGGGTTCTGCGCACGGCCACTCTCCAGGAAACCCCCAGGCGCGAGCGAAGCGCTAGGGCACCAGCGCCAGCCTCTCCTTTTTTCCGTGCGCTGGGAGAAGACGTGGCAATCTGTTCCGCTGACCAGGCGTTGGGCCGCCGAGGGCCCCAACGCGGCGTTTTCTTCCCCGGCGCAACTGAGGCTGGCATGCCAAAGCGCGCTAAAATCGGGTGCCCCCTGCAGTTCAGTCAACTTGTGTAGTAAGGAGGGGCAATCTTCCCAAGGGTACCCTTGCATCCTTGCCTCCTCGGTCCATCCATGGTCACTTTCGTCGGCTGCGCCCCGCTCGAAAAGCTTCTGCATGGGCGTCCTAGGGCCTTGCATCCATATCGCGCATCCTGATGCTACGGGTTGACTGTACGTGCGCGCAGAAGGGGCGTGCCACGCCCTCACCGCCCGGCTCCGCTGCGCCAGAAGGAAGAGGAGGAGGAGGAGGAGGAGGAGGAGGAGGAGGAGGAGGCGGAGGCGGAGGAGGATGCAGAGGAGGAGGAGGAGGAGGAGGAGGAGGAGGGGGCGCGCATCGACACGCCCTTTAAGTTTTCTCCCGTCGGTTACCCCTTTTGTTCGTCAAGCGCCCCCTCCCGCCAATGCGAGGGCGGCCCAGGCGGCGCTGGGCACCCGCCGGGCCCCGACGCCCGTGTCCGAACGGTTGCGTTCTCTCTCTCTCTCTGTTTCTCTCCTCGTCCTCGTCCTCCTGCTCCTCCATCTCTTCTTCTTCTTCCTCCTCCTCCTCCTCCTCCCCTCCTCATCCTCCTCCTCCTCCTCCTCATCCTCCTCCTCCTCGTTTTCCTCTTCGTCGTCGTTGTCGTCGTCTCCTCCTCCTCCTCCTCCTCCTCCTCCTCCTCCTCCTCCTCCTCCTCCTCCGCCTCCTCCTCCTCCGCTTCCTCCCTGCCTGCAGCGGCTGGCCGCTGGTGACCTGGTAGCCGAGCGGCGCGAGCAGACGGGCCCGCCAGAGGTGGGGGCGCCGAGGAAGAGAGCGGAAGGGGGCGCAGGGCCTTGCAGCGCCAGCAGGTACAGCGGCCCCGCCCAAACGTCGGGCAGTAGGATTAGCCTTTTTTTGTTGTTTCTCTCTCTCTCTCTCGACTCTTTCTTTCACTCGATTTCTCCCTCCCCCTTTGCCTCGCTCCGGTGGCCCCTCCCAGGTTCTTTGCCGCCTGCGGCAGTCCTGCTGCGGCGCCCAGATGCGTTGTTCCTTGGCCCCCCGGGAACGATGCGGTACTGAACAACAAATCTCGGTGGCCAAGGTGACCCGCGAGCCTGTCCGCACGAGAGCCATTGAGAACATCGTCCAGAAGGCTGTCAATCGGCTGGCCGACGACAAGAAGGCATGGCATTGGGGTTTCGCCGTGGGTGGGGGGGCTCTGCCAGCGGCCTCTTTCCCCCCTGTCTTCGGGCTGCGGCCGCTCTTCCTGGGCCGTCGTTTGGACGCGTTGGCGCCCAATGGAGCCGTCTTGGAATTGTCTTCGGGTCAGGAGGGGAGGGAGGGAGGGAGGGAGGGAGGGAGGGAAAAAGGAGCAGGAGGAGGAAAGGAGGAATGGAGGAGAGGAGGAAGGAGGGAGGAATGAAGTGGAGGAGGGAAGGAGAGGAACCAGGAGAGGAAGGAAGAGGGAGGGGTGGGGGAGTGATGGGGGGCGGAGAGCGAGGAGGGGAATATTGGGAGAGTCGTCTGGAGGCAATGTTCAAAGCCACCGCTTGGCCGTCGTGGGCGCAGAAGCCCACACAGAGGCTGACAGCTTCAAGATTCCATGGGGCGAGCGTGGAGCTATGCTTGGTCGTCCGCGGTGTCTTGGGCCACTCGGAGTTTCGGACCCAGACATCCGACGATATTACGTTTCCAATCCGGGCGATGTTCCTCCATTTCGAGCCCAGGGTCCATTATCGAGCCCGTAGGGGCATTAAAAAGGGAGGCGGGACGAAAAGACACTACCCGGGAAAGGGGTCGGGACATTTGGGACCGCGCATCGTCGGATGTTTGGGGAACGCTCGCACAGGGCCTCCTCGGCCTCCTGGTGGCTCCAAGGGTGTGCCTTACGGGGCGCGTCCTCAGATTCTCGCATGGAGCTGGCTGGGATTCGGAGGGGCTGCCTCCCTGGGCGATTCTCGGAGTTGCTCGCTACGTGAGGCCGTGACGGGCCCGCACCAGCAGGAGCGGCGTGCGGCGTTGCATGAGCACCGCCCTCCCGTGCGCAACCGAGCAGGGCGGCAGGCCAGGAGGCGGCGCGCCGGAGTCGTTCCTCGCGCTGCGCCGCGAGAGCGGGAGAGCGTGAGAGCGGGGCAGTATCGCAGCAGGGACGAAAGGTGGGGAATTCTTGGTGCCTGCGCGAGGGAGGAGGCGGAGGAGGAAAAGGAGGAGGAGGAGGAGGCGGAGGCGGAGGCGGAGGACGCGGAGGCGGAGGAGGAGGAGGAGGCGGGGACCCTAAGCTCCAGCGCTTGAGGGAAGGCGTTTCGGCACAGTTGTTTCGCGATCTTCTCGTTGCGGCTGCCCCCAGGCCCCCACGTCTGGCCGCCACCATGTCGGCGGCGCCCCCTTCGCAGGACTACCGGCCGCGCTGCCTAAATCTGCGGTCCGCCCTCGAGGCGGCGGAGAGCCGGTGGCGGGCGATCAACAAGACACTCCAGACAAAAGGGCACTCCAGAGCCGCCGGTTGGCGATCACCATTCGTCACGTTGTCGCCGTCGAGGTCGCTGTCGTGGTCGTGGTCGTGGTTGCTTAAGATCAGGAGCGAAAGAAGGACGTACATGTACATTAATCCACGCTGGTTTCGAGAGCACGCATTGCACAAATGTTTGTATCACGCGGCCGGTCTCGCGAATCGAGGGGCCGTGTTCATGTACATAGCTGGGCGCGTACGTCCTTTGGGGGCTCCCTATAAGAAGCTCCCCCCCGTGCCACTCCGCCCGACGGACCGTTAAACAAACAAATGCAACAAGAGCCCCCCCGCGCCTGCCGAGCGCAGCCCCCAGCGCGACACCCCCACGCCCAGCGCCCCACAGGCCCACTCTGCCTCCGCACGCGATCCACGCTTATGGTTATGATCTTCCAAGCTACTTCAGCCTGGATTGCCAGAAAGAATTTCGAGTACCAGGAAAGTGCCGAAATTGCAGGGTTGTCCCATGTCGGGCCCTGGGATACACTCGTTCGACACTGTGTCGACACTCTTTCGACACTTTTCAGGGTGCTCGAAATTATGCCTGGGATGGGGTATGTCAGTACGATGGGAACAGCATAAGCTTATAGAACAGCTGGGAGCACCGATGCTGCTGCTCTCGGGGCCTCTCCCGGAGCGCGTTCGGGCCGGGACTCCGAGACCCAGGGTCCCGCGAAGGCCTCTGGAGGCCCTCCGAAGCCCCTCGAAGGCGGTCTAATTTGGACCATGTCCCCCCAGACGTTCAACGATTCGATCCGCAGCCCCAGAGGTTCGAAAGAGCGCGTTCTCTGGGCGATTGGAGGGGGGGGGTTCGGACCCCCCCCCGAATTCAACGGGGGTGGTTCGAACCCCCCCCTCTCTCCTGGCCGGCGCTGGCGCCAGCGGCGGCCGGCGGCGGCGGGAAGCGGTAACGAGGACGACGACGCCGACGACGACGACGACGAGGGCAACGATGGCGACGACAACGACGACGACGACGACGACGATAATGACGACGACGAGGATGACGACGACGACGACGGCGACGACGACGACAAAAAAACACGACGACGACGACGGCGACGACGACGACGGCGACGACGCTGGCGTGGACGACGACGACGACGACGGCGACGGCGACGACGACGTTGATGGCGACGACGACGACGACAACGGTGGCGCCGACAACGAAGACGACGACGACGACGGCGACAACGACGACGGCGACGACGACGACGACGATGGCGATGACGGCGACGACGACGACGACGGCGACGACGACGACGACGGCGGCGACTAAGACGACGACTACAACGACGACGACGACGACGACGACGGCGGCGGCGGCGACGACGAAGTTAACGGTGACGGCGACGACGGCGACGACGACGGCGGCGACGACCACGACGGCAAGCACGACGACGACGACGGCGACGACGACGACGACGACGACGGCGACGACGACGACGACGGCGACGACAGCGACAGGGGCTCGAGCCGTTTCAGGAAGCGCGTTTCTTTTTCTCCAGACGGCCGCCCCCAGCCACCAGCCGCCGCGGCGATCGGCTGGTGCCGCCATTCCTCCTCCCCGTGCTGAACCAGCGTGGCACACACGTGCCCGCCACAAGCGCCAGCAGGCGCGCAAGATCATCACAGCAGCGTTCGCGGAGATCGGACGCCACCACAGCGGGCAGCAGGGGAGGTTGCCGTCCTTCGCCATGGGCCAAGGGGGTAAGGGAAAGACGGGCAAGAAGGGCAACAACAAGGGTGCCACGAATGCCAGTCGAGGAGTTGGAGGTGGACAAAAGGGCCGCCCCTCGGGCCCCCCCAGCCCAGGCTTGGACGTGCAGCACGTGCACAGCACCGGTGAATTTGTCGAAGGAGTGGTGCTGGCAGTGTGGTCAGCACTGGCAGACACCAAAGGAGCCTGCGGCCCAGACGATCCCAGAGGGCGAGCACCCGTGGCGGTCGGAGGGCCAGAAGGCGCAGGGTAGTGAAGCAACCGAATCGAAGGGCACGGACTACGGAGGCGTCATCATGAAGATCCAGGCGGCGTTCGACGCCGCGGAGAAGGCTGGCAAGATAGACACCTCGCAATTGCAGGCAGTTATCGAGGCGGTCCGTGCCCAGAGAGACTCAGCGAATACCCCAATGCAGATGGCCCAGTCGATGACGCAGAAGCTGGGCCAGAAGCAGAAGGCGCTCGAGAACCACGAGGTCGCACGCGAGCAGCTGATCAATGAAGCGATGGAGGCAGAGCAGATGTACAAGCTCAAGCAGGAGAAGGTGCAACAGAGAGAGGCAACGATCAAGCACTGCCTAGACGAGATCGCCAAGATCGAAGCAAACCAGAACCAGTGGCTCCTGAAGGCGAGGGGCGAGGAGGGTCCGAAGGCCCCACAGGTCCAGGCGTTCGAGTCGTTCAACGGGATCAAGTCAGCTTTGGAGTCCATGGGCCAGGCGGATTCAGCGGATCCCCAGCTCGCCCGCGCCTTCACGGCGTTCGCGCAGGCACTGAAGCCGCGCGCCCAGCCGCCAGACACGCCACAGGCGGCCCCAGAGATTGCAGCAGCTAGTTCAGTGGACGCCTCGGTCGAGCCAGGCGAACCACATATGGCACCAGGCGGAGGTGGAGCCTCGCGCCCAGCGGCGGTGGATGCGACTGGCGGCACTGCGACTCCGCAGTCCGCGGGTGCCCCTGGAGGCCCAACTGGGCCAGGCCCCGCCCCGACAGCCGCAGCCGCCACCGCGGGAAGCCGCCTGGGCCCACCCGCGAATAGAGTGGGGGGGGCGGGCCAGAGGGGGGCAGAGCCGCTCGCCTCACCGCAGTGGAGGTGCCGCCCCCTCCCCCCCCAGCGCTAATAGCCAGAATTGCAGTAGAAAGTGCGGACCATTCAAGTTCTGCACAGTGAATGGGTCCTGTTGGACCACGATTTTGGATTTCTTGGCCGACTGCAATGCGTCTATTGCGTTTGTCCAGGAGCAGAAATTCAACCTGGTAGGAACTTTAGAGGCCCGTCGTAAGCTCAGCAAAAAAGGCCGGGCCTCTTTTTGGGCACCGCGTCTACTTGGGCCCGCTGGTTTCCCGAGCGGGGGCGTAGGCATCATAGCTAGGAAACATTTAGATCTCTGGGTGGGCCCCCGCAGCCGTGGCATTTTGTCCCCAGGGAGACTCTTGCATGTGTACTGTAGAACGAAGGCCCATGGCCTAGTGAATCTGCATTCGAACTACTGGGTGTCTGGCACGGGACTGGGCCCTGCGAATATCTGGCTCAACATGACCTTGGGACAGCGCATCCTGGAGACGGGAACGCCGTTCATGGCGGGGGGGACTTCAACGTCGAACCTGACCTCTTAGAGAGCGCGCTGGTACCAGGCAGATTCGGATGGGGCAATCTGCAGACCTGGCGCGCCGACATTAGTTCATGGGGGCCACTCGTCCATGATCGGTTTTTTCATTGTGAGCAGAGTGCTGACGTACGGTGCTCAGACATGCCGAGTGGATCTCGCAGCCCGCGCACCTCCGCATCGGCCAGTCGACCTAGACATTGTCGAGGACACTCCGGGGCTCAATGTGTTAAAGTTATGTAAGTACAGAAAGTTAGGGGCCCTCCAACCAGCGGGGCCAAACCCCGGGCCCCCAGACGATCAGGCCTTTTTAGACTCCCATCAGGGCCCTTGGAGGAATACCAGGTTGAACCAGGATTGCTACACCCTGCCCTCGCCGAACGAGCTGAAGAGTTTCAACAGCTCCAGGACAGAGCGCTTGCAGAGTGGGTCAGTCGAGTCTGGGACGAGCTGGAGGACATTTTCCATGCTGGCGGCTCCGACATGCGCCAGATGGGGGGCGCGCCTTATAAGTTCATTCAGGTTTCGCTGGCCACGCCTCCCATAACTCGCAGCAGTCCGTTCAAATCGGTTTCGAGGGCGATTTGCTGGGTTGCTCGAAGGTTGGAGGAGCTCGGCAGCTTGATAAAGAGAGGCGTGACCCCCCGCAGGTTCACAGTACTTCACTCGCCTGCCCAGAGATGCAGCGAGAGGGCTTCACCTTCCTGTTCGGCGCCACTGGCCTGAAGGCGAGTGTTTTCTGGACATAGATTTTGATGTACTTCGGCAAAGGAATCCCGAGGACAAAGCGCCGCTCCTGGACCGCGGTTTTGGAAGAGCTATCTCGCTGGGGAGTTCAGCTTTCAAGAAGGAAACAACCATCGAGAACGCTTCCTGGGCGACCTGGTGATCCGAGGCTCTGGAGGGAGGGGCCCGATGGGCCCACGCGCATACCAAACTGCCCACTAATTACATGGAAGAGATCTTCAAAACAGCTGAAGGGGGAGACACCAGCCCATCCAGTGCCAGGTTTCAAGCGCAGCAAGATGCCTGGAGCACGGCCTGGAGGGCGACATCTGTTCAGTCGACCAGGCAGTTTTTGCAGCTCCCGCCAGCCGCTCTGGCGCAAGCTGCCCCTGGCGGCGAAGACCTCAGGATAATCTCCAGCGGATTCAAGAAGCATGCGATCGCCACCGACGGGATCCACCCCAGACATTTCAGCCCCCTGTGCCCCAAGGCGCTCCTGGTCATGCCCGACCTCCTCTCCCTCCAGGTGGCCCCGGGCAAAGGGCCGACTCAGCAGGGGATGCTCCTGGTCCAGTTGTTGGAGAAGCTTGTTTCGGGGAGGAGACCAACCGGCTTCTTTCGCAGTTACTCCAGGATGGTCTGCAAGGTCCAGAGCAGGGATTGCAAGGTCTGGGAGAGCTCTGTCCCCAGGGAGATCCACCACCGACGGGGTTTGGCGGCAAGCTGCAAGGACTGCACTTGCTGATGACACAGGCGAGGCAGCCAGTGCCCTGTCGTGCGATTTGACGCAGTGCTACGAGCGCGTGAGCCACGAGCAGCTCTGGAACGAGCGCAGTGCATGTTCTTTCCCACTCCACAGCCCCCGCTTGGCTTTGGACAGCTACACGTGG